CATATAAAATTCGCATCGTTGTACTTACCTTGTCATCAAGCCCATGCCAACTCTGCACGTTAGTTACAACGTGATAATGCAATAATAGTAATTTAATAACACATCCCAATCGCTCAAACACCAACCACACTCGCACTCAATCAATCCAATTAACTCAACCACACATCCAACCAGCCAATTCAATTACATGCTCAACCAGTCAATTCAATCACACTGAAATCGCATGCATGGCCGAACATCTTTCTCACAACCCGCGCCACTGTGCCTCAAGTCTATTCTCATTGCCCGCGCCACTGCGCCTCAAGCCCATTTGGCACACCGGTCATTCATGCTTTCACACGGACCGCCGTCAACACATCCCAAGTCCGTAGCCCTCCGATCAATCCGGGCTCAATTCTAATGACCGACGTAAACACGTCCCGGTCCAACACACCTTTAACGGGCCACCGTCAACACGTCTCAAGCCCGCATCCATTTGGCACACCGGCCATTCATGCCTTCACACGGACCGCCGTCAACACGTCCCAAGTCCGTAGCCCTCCGATCAATCCGGGCTTATAATCGACAGGCATGCACACGCCATTCAATTCAATCAATTTCACGCCAATTCGCCACGTCAATCCACAAACCCGACGTTCAAGTCGGCCACGTACGATCGCCCAAATCATGCATATTATTTTATCCAATCCAATTAGCACAATTATATCATAATATAATTAAATTAAATCACGCTCTAACCGTTCTAAACCCGAGACAAGTTATAAAATACCAAAAGTACTAAATAAGGTTTAGAAAGTCACTTACTTCAATATGGCCCGGGAAAAACCCGCACGGGCTCAAAACAGGCGGATGAACAGTAAACGGGCCGGATGAACAGTACGGGCGGATGAACAGTGACGGCCGGAGCTCGGCCACAGCCCGGGCAACGACGGGAACGGCTTGGGCGAGCTGGTTGGCTGTCCGGCCACGGTGGGGCACGCTCGGCCGACGAGCTAGCTAGCCGGCTGGCTGGCTGGCGAGCTACGGCGGGCGACGGCGACGACGAGCGGCTGCTGGTCTGGGCGGAAGGCCACGCTCGTGGTCGGCTCGGGCGAGGACGGTCGGGGCGATGGCGGTGCTGGGCGGCCAAGGCGGCTAATACGGCGGAGGCTGGTGGCAGAGGGAGCTGGGTGGCGGTGGTGGAAGCGGCGGCGACCGGCACGGCGGCGTGCGGCGATCGCGGGGACGAGCTCACTGCTCGCGCGAACAGGGGGAAGGAGGTCAGCCAGGTCGGGAGGGGGAGTCGGCTGGTCAGACGGCGCGGCAGGGTGACGCATCGGCGACTCGCGGAGGTCGGGCGGCAGAAGACGGGCCGACGAGCGACTAGGCAGCGCCGAACCGCGGCGGACGCGACGGCGATCTACTGCTGCTGTGCGCGACGCGAAGGAGAAGAGCAGCCGAGTCGAGGGAAGGTGGCCGGACGGCGACGCGGCGGCCCGACGAGCGGCGGCGGCGCGCAGCGAGGCAGTCCAGTCGGCGAGCAGGTCGGGCAGCAGAAGAAGAAGAATCAGAAGCCATGGCGTCGGGGGAGAGAAGGGAGAGAAGAAGAAGAAGAAGAAAAAGAGAAAAAGGAGAGAGAGAGAGAGAAAAGGAGGAGAGAGAGTCTGACAAGGGGGAAAAACGTGTGCACAGCAGCAACGCGGCAGAGAGGACAGAGAGAGAGAGAGGGGTGGGGGGCGGGGGGTGGGGGGGCCATCGTGCGCGGCCGAAGGGGAGGAGAGAGAGAAAGAAAGAGGGAGGAAGAGAGATAGAAAAAATTAAATGTTCATTCAAATAATTCATCCTAAAACTCCGAGAAATTCGACACCAAAATTTGGGTTCTAATTAACGGTCAAATTCAATCAAGTGCGTTTTTAGCGAAATCTCAATTTTAAAATAATAAGCGGGAGTGATCAGTTCCCGGGCGAGATTTTACTATAAGCACATTGACGAATTACACGTTTTATAAATCCCAAAAATGGGCCGAAATTCGGAATGTCACGGTAGGCCTTGGCCAAATCCAATCCATTACCCTTTCCTACGATCGACTCACGTTGGCCCAAAATATTCCCTCAGCGTCGCTCATGATCGGTGTCCGTTTCACGATAGGGTCCCCGGTCCACGTACCGGTTTCTAGTTAGGCATACCCAATTGGTTAGTATCCCGAGAGTGATCAGCTCTGGGCGAGACTTACTAAAATGAAATGCGAAATAATATCAGCATTATTGATCCTGGAATTACATCGAAATTCGGGCTATTACACATTTACCATCTGTCAAAATTCTGTTAATAAGAACCGTTAAAAATATGTCTATATAAATGCTAGAAAGCAAACAGCATTGACATAATGCCCATGTGGCTTAAATGAGATAAAAACGACATTGTTTTAGTTGAAAAATCATCTACATAAGTGCAAATTTGGGATTAAATATTTAAAGTAAATGTCTTATGGTAGGTATAATTTGGGATTTTTGATGTCACAAAAAAAAATTCAGGGCAAATGTGTTACGATAAGCATATGAGATTTTTTGTAACATTTTCCCTTAAGAAAAAGATATAAAAAAAAGAGTAAAAAGAAGAAGAAGGAGAAGAAGAAGAAGAAAACATATGAAGGAGAGAGGAAGGGTAAGGGAAGGATAAGTGGCCGCGGGGCCACCACCACCTCGCTTTTCCCTGGCACCTTTCTTCGAAGCCACCGCCGACGTCAAACATCACGACATGGTGTTAAGTTAAATCGCTGCTTCGGCACTTTTTGCATCCACATATTCGAAAGAAAAGCAACACCAAAAAAAAAACATATAATTTATGAATCTACTGTAGTAAAAAGGATCATTATCCCAACACCAAGAGGTCAGGAAATTTAAATTTTTCATTTTTAATTAGATCTTAAGCCGATCTTATTTTTTCCGGACATATCTAATTGAAAAATCCTTGCACATTTTGCAGACCAAACATATGATATCAGTCATCAAGATTTATTTTTAATTGAAAAAGATTACACTAACACAATCAAATCCTAAATGATAAAAGCATGTGGGCTTTGCCGATCACGGCCTGGTTAGGACTATCAACCGGAATAAAACTCGAACTTCATGCAAAACCTAGTTAAAATGCAATTTTGATAAAAAAAAAAAAAAAACTTAAAAGTGCCCTGTCAACATCGGGTTAATACATTGTTGTTCCCTCCTAAGTGATGGTTGACGATTGCCTAGGAGTTCATCGCCACTAGGGAGCCTTTGCGGCCTGTCCCCTCCAATCGGCGCAGGCTCTACAGACGCATTTTTAATTTTAACGTGTCAGTGCTCGCACGCTACAGCCTCCTTATTAGGACAATATCTTTTTCTAGTCTCGTCCCTGGCTATACCTTCTATGTTCTTAACACCCCGAGGTCTGGACGAAACCTTTTAAGGACATGCATAGGTCTAATTGACAACAAATGAGCAGCTTGCGAACAGAGTCGTGCCGAAAATTGTTTGGAGAAGACCCCATTGCGAAGACTTGCTCAAGAAGCACCTCCAGCACTGTGCTACAGCTAAAAACTTCGCCACGAAGACCCCGTCTCGATAGTTTTCTCTCTTTCCCGTCTCTGACCCAAAAAGAAAAGGAGTCGTCTTTTTCAAAAGCCCCCGCCTTTTCCCGAACTCCGCTATAAAAGAGGCGAAGCTCTCTGTCTGTGACCAAGACTTCGAGAAGAAGAAGCAGAAGCAGCAGCTCTTGTATTTGCAGGGTCGAAGCGACGATCCAGAGGTGCGCATTTCGTTCTTACTCTGTGTTTTATGAGCTCAATTTACAATTCTTCTTTGTGGGCATTAAGAGCGGCTCGCTTGAACTTGCCACATTGTGATCTGATTGACGCTCTTGCGAGTCTGTGCTAGCAGAAAGATATGGAACTAGACATGCTCTCGTTTTTTTGTTACTCCCATGATTGTAGAGCGAAGCTTCCACATGTGGACATGCATCGCTGATGATTTTCCGCAGCAGGAGTTGTTTTTAGAGTATCATATAGTTTCTAACTTTTTGCACATTCACTTATCCAACGAAAAGAAAACAAACTGTTGCGTATCTCTCCATTTTCTCTTGTTTTCCGTTGAGACGGCCTCACGATTGCTCTCTCTATAAGTCCAGCTTGATTTTTAAATATTTCGGTGAATTTGTGATGATCTGGCGTGATTGACTTGGATCAAAAGCATAGAGCGGTGATCGACGATAGACCCGACCATGGGTCTAACAACCCATGTGCCCGCAGGCCTAGCCCGAGTCATAAGAGCCCGCAAAGTCATTCTTGGATAGGTTTAGACAAGGGCATTTACCGAGAAAATTCGGTTAGGCCAATTTTAACATTTTTACGTAAAAATACTATCATTGGTGTTCTAGGGCGAAAATTTAGGCTTGACGTTCCCATCAATTATCACCTCTGCTATTCAGCAGATGTCTAACTCAATTGTCATTTCGCGCAGGCCTAGATGCCATTGCTCATGTTTTTTTCTTAATGTGATATCGAACATGCTTAAGTTCACTTCGCTCCATCATTGGACCCTGATCATCGACCCTCGTTGGTTCTGTGCTTCAAATGATGTCATTTGTCTTCGACATCATGGAGAGAATTAAAACTGGGAGGAAAAACTAGTGAAGTTCTGGAACCAGAACCAAAAGGAAGTTCTGGGATTTATGGTGCGGTAACGTTTATACATGGAGCAAGACCTGTACTATATAGTCTTAATGTTGGATGATTTTCTCGTATGATTATGCCCCGTCGCCATCAACACAGGATAAAGAGGCACGGAGTAATGATCATTGAAATATTAAATGCTGGAAGAATTCAGTACAGATGATTTGCACAGTTTTATCTGCATTTCGATGAATCTCTTACTTTGAAGAGTCATGTAGTAGGATGGAAACTTTGATTTTCTTTAACCAAACAGCAGCCTAATTCACTCCGTGTTATAGTGAAACTATGGATTAAAACTGTCTTATTGGTACAGTTAATTCTCTGCACAGACCAAGTCCGAGCATGGCAGCAACCAAGATGAGTTTGAAGCTTCTTGTCGACAAGAGAAACCAGACCGTGCTCTTTGCCGAAGCCGGAAAGGACTTTGTGGGTTTCCTTTTCCATTGTCTGGCTTTGCCAGTCGGAACTATTATGAGTCTTCTCGCGAAAGCAGGCACGGTGGGTGGCTTCTGCAATCTTTACATGAGTGTCGAGAATCTCGGTGACACATACATTAAACCTAGAGAGAGAGATGCTCTTTTGAATCCTAAAGCACTGAGCTCTGGTCCAGATGTTCTGCTCTTCTTGTTGCCCGAAGCTCTGCCTTCTGTGCCAATTACCTACTACACTTGTCCTCGTATTTCCAGCGATTTCTTCAGTGTAAACAATTCATGCCGTAGCTGTGTGACGGGTTCCCCTTCTACAAGATGTCCTGGTTGCAACGAAACGATGAGCAAGAAATTGTCATGGGTTGTGGGACCAGGTGCTGATGCCGCATCCTCGGCTGAGGTACCCGGTGCGGAGGGTGGTTATGTGAGCAGCGTCATGTACATGGTGATGGACGATCTGGTTGTGAAGCCCATGTCCCCCATCTCTGGCATCACTCTCCTCAAGAGGTTCAATGTGCACGAAATCGAGGATCTTGAAGAGAAGGTGGTCGACTTCGGCTTGGATGAGGTAAGGCCTGCAGAACTCGCAACCTCTTACATTTATCATTCAGTTCTGAATATGTGAGCTATTGCAAAAGTGCTATTGCCATTTCCTATAAATGCAGCCGCGGTGTCCTTTCTCAAGGTGCCCCTTTTGCTTACTTGTCTTGTGCTATTGTGATCTTTGCTCAGGCCGTAAAGTTGTTGAACGCTTCGTTGCACTCCAAAACGGTTCTCACGGACATATTCAGCGGGAGGGAATCAGCGAAACACTACTCTTCAACTCTAGAAACTAGTCTTTGTTATATATTTGCTTGCTGGGGTAGTTTATACATGCTGGTTTGTAAGATGCTGATGAAGCTATTCAATCCCCATCGAGAATTCGACCAAAAAAAAAAATCCCCATTGAGAAAATTAGTTTCGGTTATATATGAGCTAACTCAGAAATCAGTTTCTGGCGATGATTGATCTGTGGTCCTATGTTGTGTAAGATGTATGTCGCCTCTAATGTACTTATGCTTGTCAAGTTGCCCAAATGTGTTTTATGTGAATAGATCCGTCGGTTCACGAAATTGATATATCTACTATGAACTGCCATCCCAAAGAAAATGAAAACATCTGCGAGATAAGTGTGACAATCACACGATTAGTAAGTAATTATAAGGTATCGCCAAAATTCCTCTGTTACTACTGCATTGCTGTAGACAAGCTAGGGTCTGTAATACAAGGGACTGATCGTAGCCAAATCATTTCGGCCTTTCTTGGCAAGGAAGACATCGGTTAGAACTGTCTTGAACAGTAACAATGCCTCCGGCAGCAATTCTCCCTGCCAAAGGAACCACCAAAGGGTATGAACGATGATAATTGTCGTTGACTGAACATACTGTAAATTCTAAGAGAAATTAAAGAAATCATGACCACATGCATCGTCTAAATTTTGTTCGAGGCTCTTTAGTCCAGTACTCACCAATTAGATCAGTTGTGAGGATAAAACCAACTGCCGTACATGTGGTGAAAGACGGAAAAAAAAGCAGTCATCCAAGAACTAGCCAGGAAAACAAATGTAGTTCAATTCGGCTTACCTTGTCTGCCCCAAAATCAATAAACTTGTCCACAATCATGGCAGCCTTGTCCTTGAACATGGCAATGCACGACAGAGTAATCATTGGCTTCACCATCAGATCGTCCATCACCACATACTTCACCAGCTGTTTCACATAACCACTCTCCCTGGTTGGCACTTCAACGAAAACTACTCTTCGGTCCATGATGGCGTCGCAAGGACAACATTTCACGGAAGGGTCGTAGGCGACCTTCCTACCATAATAGGAAGGCAATAAAAGAGTGACCGGGAATGTGATGTTTGAACCACGGTCGGGGAAATTGGGCTTCAAGAGGCTCTGCTTGTGGTGGGGCATCATGTAGAACACATCCTCCTGGTCCTCAAAGCTCTTGTAAAGATTGCCTAAGCTGCTGTCCATGGAGTCGGCTTTCCCGGCTTGAATGTGTGCGAGAGTCATGATCGGCAAGGCGTGGACATGGAAGAGGAAGTCCACAAAGTCTTTTCCGGCTTCCGTAAAAACCGTTCTTTGCTGGTAAATCCATGATCGGCAAGGCGTGGACATGGAAAATCTGGAGGTTGATTTGTAACATTGTCCTTTCTTTATTCTTATTGCATTTGGTAAATCCATGTTCCGTACTTTTTAGGATCTTATAGTTAAGGAAGTTTCACATTGCCTGCAACCAAGCCCGTCGAAGTTCAATTTGGCTTTAATCTCAGTAATATAGGAAGGAAGGTATTTTTTAGATTGGTCTAATTCTCTTGACAGGTCAAGAACAAAAACAAGCATGGCAGCAACCAAGATGAGCTTGAAGCTTCTTGTTGACAAGAGAAGCCATACGGTGCTTTTTGCTGAAGCTGGAAAGGACTTTGTGGATTTCCTTTTCCACTGTTTGGCTTTACCAGTTGGAACTGCTATTAGTTTTCTCACCAACGCATGCACAGCAGGTAGCTTAGGCAACCTCTATAAGAGTATTGAGAATCTCAATGACATATATTTAAAACCTAACCAGAAAGAGACTCTGTTGAAGCCCAAGCTACCAAGCAGTGGTCCAGAGTTCCCGTTATTATTACCTGAAGCTTCATCTTCTGCACCAACTAACTACTACAGATGCTCTAATTCTTCAGCTTCAAAATGTAACTACATCACTGATGCCCCCTCAGCAAAATGCCCTTATTGCGGTTACAGTATGAGTACCAGACTTTCATGGGTTGTTGGGCCAGCTGCGTCATCCTCGTCTGAGGCATCTGGCGGTGAGGGTGGTTATGTGAAAGGCATTGTAACATACATGGTGATGGATGATCTGGTCGTGAAGCCTATGTCCACCATTTCTTGTATTACTCTCATCAACAAGTTCAATGTGCAGGAAATTGGGGATCTTGAAGAGAAGGTGATAAATTTTGGGATGGATGAGGTAAGGCCTGCAACCCCTTTCTAATATTCTATATCTATTTATTCAATTCTAGGCTTGAAATTATTTGTTGCTTTTACCTCATGTTCCAGGACTTACTACAGTAACAAATTGAAAAGTTAGCAGATGGATTCTAAATTTCTCACTAGAGAGACACGTGCTTGTCTGCCCGACTTGCGTGCATCAAATGCATGATGTAGGTGCTGGAATTGTTGTATTCAAATATCAAAGAAAAAACCCAAGTAATGCCTTACTATTCTAGACTATAGTTCTACAAAAGATAAGTGGTATTGTTAAGCAACTCTTTGTGCTTTATGTTGAGAAACTTCAACGGATGTGTTGCCTCCATCAGATTTCATTTTTGGCGTTGGAAATTACGAAAAACCTAAATTTTTGTTCCTAAAGAATATGTAAAATTTGTAAAAGGTTGAGGCAAATTAAGTCTTGGTTTTCCTAAGGGGAGGAAATGATCAGACTTAAAGGTTGAATTTTTTGTTCATGTAGCGTTGCCCATACACTAGGCCTCTGTTGGCCTGTAGACTGTAATTGCGCAAGTGGCTGTAGAAAATTGTTTCTCAGGTTTGGAGACTGACCTTAGTGTATTGAACAATCGACACATTCTCTGGAAAATTCTAGCTCTGTTCTATATACTATAATATGTACCTGGAGCTTCTGCATTCTTGTTCAAGTATCAATGCTTGGAATGCCTAAAGCTATTGATAAGGGTCATGTTAACGATGCGAGGCACGTGTTAAACATACTTTACATGGAATAGTTTATTTTTTAAAACATCGATTGCACATAACACGATAATAGATAGTGCACTGGAAACTGTAAAGTTTGTTTAGTTGGGTGTTTAATTGCTCTTGCGACACTCTATAACAAACTTTCTCAAAAGAAGTCCTGTTAGAAATTTCCAGTATATCAAACTTGTCTGATGGACTTCTGATGGCCGTCATATTTTCGTTTCCAACAGTCCACCTTGAGTTGGTGGAATGTGCAGTTGCCTCATGTTGTTATTTAAAAGCAACTGGTGCCCATGCATGCACATATCCCACCTGTGCACCTTCAAATATGATAGCTCAACTACTTTAACCATCATCTTTCACTGTGATAGCTTCCTCGATCAATTCTGACAGAATAGTTTCTGAATTCCGCTATCCATTCAACCCATATTGTAACATAAGCTGAATGTGCCTAAGTTCAGTTTTGTTGTTTGGATGCACATGTCTTAAATAGATTACCTACATTTGATAATCTGAAGAGCTGGATTCTGATGTTGACATCCACTGTTTTTTAGCATGTAAAATTCATGATGAGTCTTGTAGACATCTATCATCTTTAGTGTTACGGGGGCTGATCTGGACTTTGGAGCAGGTTGCCGGAATTATGCTGCATTATAAGACAAGTGGGTGATTGAGATTTTGAGCTGAATTAGGCTGTAGTGGAGTTAAAGTATGCAAACTTGCTTTGGATGGGTCTATCAGAATGGGTTATATGACTTGCGAAGAGTGCCCTGATGTCGATGAAATTGCTAAGAATGTGGTCTTTGCAGTTAAAACTGGGTTGGAATGTTATGTCGGTCTAGGAAGAGATATTAAGCCTTTTATTCATGGAGACGTTAGTGAAAATTGGATGATCATTGAATAACATGTATAAGCGATGTTAGAGGTTGTTCTGATGATAGTTAAGAGATTTCAGTGAGCTATTGCTGGGATCTGGGTGAGAGTAATGTTGCCATTGACTATTTGTCAGATTTATGCATTCCAACTTGCGCTACGAGTCTCTCATCTGTTACGGTTGCACTGCTCACATTTCAAAAGGTTTAGTGATATCCTACCCCGACACGAACAAGGGGTTGGGCTTAGAAAAAGAACAAGATCCATTGTTGGATCTCTTCATGACAAGATGTTCGTCAGGAAAAGAAGAATTTGCTATTGGAGGAGACTTTTTAGATCACTCCAAGGATGATAATTCATAGTTAAGGGATAGTGTGCGTCAGATTTCTTTCTAAATTAATCTTCACGACTTGTTAGTTTCTTAACTTAAGATAGCTAATAAGGTCCGGATTTTTACTTGTAATTCGAAAATATGTTTTTTTTTTTTTTGTTCAGAATTCGAAACTATGTTTGAGGACCTAATTCTCTATGCTATTTTAGTACCCTGACAATTCACTACCCATGGCTGCGAAATGTCCGGTGAAAGCTTCTGATTCTCTTGTTATCTGGTTTGTGGGCCATAAAGCTGTTGAATGCTTCTTTGCACTCCAAGAAGGTGCTCACAGACATATACTTCAGCGAGGAGGAAGCATCTGGATGATGATCCTTTTCAAGTTAATTCGTTTATGATATTTCTCTATTAATGGCTTTATGTAGTGTATTTGCTTTAGCAATATTGTGAGATTTCGGTGAGGCCACTAAATCCAATTGTAAGAGTACGATCGCAAAGTACGCTTTTTTTTTTCCAGTGATTATCAGTCTGGTGCTTTGGTTTATGAGAATGTCATCTTTAAATGTATCTGTCCTTGTCAAGATGCAATGGTTGTGTCAACGATTGGATCCATAGGTTGCACAAAATTGAGAAATTAATGGTCGGTTAACTCCATTCTGAAAGAATCAAAACGTTCAGTAATGCAGCGGCAATATCACTTGGGTCTTTCTTGGACTGTGATGAATCCTCCAGCAGCTTTCTTCCTTATCAGCAAACTACAGAAAGTAAAAGTTGCCGAGATTGAGCCGTGTGGCATATTCACGTGCGAGCTTTACCTTTTTATGGTCATTTATAAAATCTCTAATCTTAACAATTCTCTAATTCTTATGCGAATTTTGGTAATAAATCTCCGAACAATGTACCAGAAATAATGCATTTATGGTTATTTTGGTAATAAATTCTAGCAAATCTCTAATATATTTAGTGATAATCTTTATTCGTGTACAAGAAATAACAGAGTTATGCTTATTGTAACAGCCCGAATTTCGACGTAATTCCGGGATCAATAAAATTGACAATATTTCGCATTTCATTTAGTAAGTCTCGCCCAGAGCTGATCACTCTCGGGATACTAACCAATGGGGTATGGCTAACTAGGAAACGGTACGTGGACCGGGGACTCGACAGTGAACGGGACACCGATCTCGAGATACGATGAGTGAATATTTTGGGCCAACGTGGGCCGATCTTAGGAAAGGTGATGGATTTGGTTTGGCCAAGGCCAACGATGTACAATCGGATCGCAGGTGATTCTGCAAGACCGAAAGTGCACGTGGCCAACCAGTCCTGAACCTAAACCGAACGATCGTGATCTTTGGAACTAATGATAATTTCTCATTCTCTCAATGATCGGGACCGTCGTAATTCGAATAACCCTAGGTCGATACGCGTATGTCCTAAACAGCCGTCCGTTAGTGAGAGACCCTGAAATTGGAAATTGAGCGAGTTTTGATCACGAAATTGGGCCTGGATTTCGATGTTGATTTTCGAAGGCTTAAGAGACTATTTTTGGGAATCTGACGTCATATTACGCTGGCCACACACGTTTGGAGTTAGTACGAGCAAAAAGTGGAATTTCGGTCCGGGGGTGAAAAATTACGGTTTTGCCCCTGTGGGCACCGAGGCTGGATTCGGAGGCCGTTTGAGGTTATTTTTCGCGGCCAAGGTCATTTTGGGGTGGCCATGCACATTTAGAGTGGTTTTGGCCAAAAATTGGAATTTCAACAAAAATTGGAAAAATAATATTATTTTATTCCCGAAACTTCGCAGTCGATTTTCGAGGGCTTAGAAAGTAAATTTCGCGAATCCGACGCCATATTATGTTGGCCACGCACATATGGAACACGTATGTGCGAAAATTGGAATTTCGCCCCGGGACCGGAAAAATGACGGTTTTGCCCCTGGGCCGTTTTCGAGTCCGAATTTTTGGGAAATTTTTGGGATAAGTAACTGTGGTTATCAGCTGCATTATTGGCACCAAAGACCCAATTGCCCCTCAATTATTTAAGCCTATCTCTTTAGAACCGTTAGATTAGGGGCGTTTTGGTCATTTTTCACGGATCGGCGACACGTGGCACTTTGGGCTGCTTTATTTGACCAAGTTGGACTGTTTTCTCTCTCCTCAGCCCTCCCTCACGGCAGAACCAGCCCCCACCAGCAGCTTCTCTTCCATTTTCCTCTCTTTTTCTCCATTTTCTCTCTTGGTTTTGGCTTCGCCGGAGTTTGCCGCCGGCCACCGGAGTGCCGCTGCCGACCGCCGTGCCCCGCCGTCGACCACATAGTCCCCCAGCTTCAGCCTCGCCCCTGTCCAGCCCTTTTCTCTCTCCCTCTCCCTTTCTCTCTCTTTCTCCCTCTTTTTCTCTTTCCCGTCCGGCAAAAAGGGTCGCCGGAGCTTCGCCACGGAGCTCGGATCGCTGTTCCGTCACCACCCAGCCGTCCAGCCTCGCCGTGCGTCGCCATCCAGCCCTGTCCCGTACGGTGTCCGTACGACTGTTCATCGCGTCCCCGTACGGATCACTGTTCATCTCGACCGTACGGCCGTCGCGGCCGTCACCGGCACTTTGCCGGCCACCGTTTTTCCGCCCCGTCCGTACAAGCCCGTACCGCCGTGAACAGTACTCCGTGAATAGTACTCCGTGAACAGTGCGCGTGAACAGCACCGCGTGAACAGTATGCGCCCGGGAATTCCGCCGCCGGTTTCACTGTTCATCAGTGATCGGCCGCCGTTCCTCGTCGTCGTGATCTTGAATTAAGTGAGTAAAATTCCTAAACCCGGATTAGGACTGTTAGTGCATTTTTCTGGACTAGTTTAGGTATTATCGGTACAATTTAGACTGGCTTAGATGGTATCAGTGTGTATTTCAGACTGGGTTGAGGACGGATTGGTAGAAATTATCATTGGGAAATTTAGTGGATTAATGAGAATTAATTGGGGAGATTAATTGGATTAAATGACCAATTTAGGAGCCCGTTGGAAAATTACCGGGTATGTCCGGGTTGACTGATTGTACGTC